CGTGCAGTTCCCGTACCAGGCGGGGATGCAGCCAGTCAGGATGCTCTCCACAGTGCAACTGTAAAACTGTCTGAGGATTTTTGAGCTCAGACCAAATTTCTTCAGTCACCTGAGGAAGAGGAGACGCTGCTGGACCTTCCTCACTATTGACTGTGTGTGAGTAGTCCAGGTGAGGTCCTCGGTGATGTGAACGCAGAGAAACTTGAAGCTGCTGACCCGCTCCACTGGAGTCCCATCGATGGTGATGGGGGAGTGCTCACTGGTCCGTCTCCTGAAATCCACCACCAGCTCCTTGGTCTTCTTGATTTTCAGAGAGAGGTTGTTGTTGTAGCACCAGTTAGTCAGGGTGCACACCTCTTCTTGTGTTTGTGTGTGTGTGTGTTATGTGTTTGAGGTGTTCTTGCTAACTTCTGTCATGTGTGTGTGTGTGTGTGCATGTTATATGTGTTTGTGATTTGAGGTGTTCCTGCTAACTTATGTTGTGTGTGTTGCTTTTTTTTTTATATTTCTATTACTCAATATCAATAAGACTTACAGTGATTTTGTACCTTTCAAAAGAGACCAAAACCATGTATGTACTCCAAATGGTTCAAGAACAGCATGCAATTTACGTTGAGTATGCCTTTTTCAGGCGTTTTAGGCAAATTTTACAGGAATGCTAAAGTTAAATTTGATACAACTAAATTTAAGACTTTTTTTAAGACCCACGGAAACCCTGTTACAGTTCGTTGAACTTCGTTCATTTATTTTTCATTCTTTTATTTAAATAGCCTACCCTTTACAGTGTCAGTAATTACTGTGCTGCTAATTTCAGATTTGGGAGTGATTTGTTTGTTAGAAAAATGTTAGGCTACCTTATTAAAAGTATTGCTCTTAACAGACCTGTGTGTTTTGTATCACTAGTGCAGTGTCCGTTCTCGGAGCATATAAGCCCTGCCCAAGTGAGGCGCACCACTTCCGGCTCGTGCTGTTCTGTAGTTTACTAAAAGTTTATTAATTCTGAACGTGTCGCGTGTCCATATTGCACCAAAATGCGACACTGCACTCCCTTGGGTCCGCAGCAACACACCCGCCATGTGTGAAGTCGATTGGAATTAATTCTGAACGTGTTGCGTGTCCATATTGCACCAAAATGCCACACTGCCACTCCCTTGGGTCTGCAGCAACACACCCGCCACGCGTGATGCCGATTGGATGAACGGTTCTCGACATAATAAAAATGCAAACAGACAGACACACAGAGATTCCTGCCTTTATTAGAGAGAAGAATATGTTCAGCCCCCTCCCACCGAAGCTTCGAATATTCGGTGTTCATTACTACCGCAGCTTCGAAGCTCAAAAAATGGTAATCGGACCAGCCCTATTAAAAGGCTCACTGATTTTCCCTGAAAATCTAGAGAATAAATAGGTATTATATTGCTGGGTGACACCAAATTGATATTGATTGAAGTCCTATTATTTAAATAATAATATGACAATTTATGATCCTAAAATCCTACTATAAACATTCAACAGTATGATTAGTATCAGTGCCTGTTTTATTACACCACTTTAAAGGATAGTTCACCCAAAAATGGAAATTCTGTCATTATTTACTTACCCTCATGTCATTCCAAACCTGTATTACCTTTGTTGGAACACAAAAAATGATATTTTGAAAAAGAAAAAAAGAAACTTTGAAAATCAATGTTTATATAGTCAAAATATCTTCTTTTGTGTTCTACAGAAGAAAGTAAGTCAAACAGATTTGGAAAAACAAGAGAGTGAGTAAACAATGACAGAATGTTCCTTTTTGGGTGAACTTTCTATTTGAATGCAAGAGACTAACATAAAAAAAAAAAAATTATAAATGCATTCAGTTCTATCCTCCAATAATAACACACCTCCGCCTCTTGCAAGGGTGTTGGTTTAACGTGTAAGTCAAATAAAAGGCATCATTTCACGCTGGCATTCACACCAGCATCCTTCTAGAGAACTGAGACACACAAAGAACGATCATCCATAATAAACGGTAAATATGACTATTTTATATAAAGAACTTTTTTTTTAAAGTGATGTGTCTTATTATTATAAAAAAAAAAAAAAAAACATTACTATATAGAACACTATAATTTTTTGTTGTTTGCCCCATCTAAATAGTGAGAGACCTGAATATGGCTTCCAAAACTCAGATACTACTATTGCTAGTGGCTATAATGATTACAAGTTATGGTCTTACCAATGCTGCTGCTGCTGACACTGTAACAAATACAACAATCAACTGCACAACCAACAGCACGACCAACTGCTCAGCCAATGGCATAACCAACTGCTCGGCCAATGGCACGACCAACTGCACGACCATTTGCACAACCAACTGTACAAACTACGGCATGACCAATGCCACGGTCAATGGCACAACCGCCAGGACTTTTATAACTGCAGGCTCCAATGTTACTGCCATCAACTGCTCAACCAATGGCACGACCAATGGCACGACCAACTGCACAAACCACAATATGACCAACGGCACGAACTACGGTATGACCAACGGCACGAACTACGGTATGACCAACAGCACAACCACCAGCACAGCAGCAACCAGCACCACAACCACCAGCACAGCAGCAACCAGCACCACAACCACCATTTCTACTGCACCAACTCTTTCACCTATGGGGATCGTAGGACTGTCTGGACTTTTGATCTATATTGTCACCTCCACTGCAGTTATTAACCTCTTCCACCAGACATGATCATCAACTCCATTTGAAAAACTGCCTATGTTTGTCAAATATCTAAAACACAGATTACCGATTTTTTTGTTGTTGCTCAAACACTATAAAAAACTAGAAAAATATATGTATTAGGGCTGTGCAATTAATCGCATGTGAGTGTCATGTGCATCTCGTCAGTAAAGCCGGTCCCGTGATTAGTAGTAAATCGCCATCACCTGCTTTCAGATAGAGCGGCATTTAATACACAGAGCCGTAGTTCACTGA